TTGATTTTGGAAGAATTTAAAACCAACTCTTATATAATATCATTTAACCTTGTAAAATAACTTTTTCAGTGTAGTATAATGCACAAAAATGTATTTTAACTTGTTATTGTTAGTCGATAAAATATTCTATGGTAAAAAAAACGTTTTTTTTAAAACGTATTATTTATGAAAAAACAAATAGGTACCAAGTAATTTCTGTTATTATTAAAAATTAAAATATTAAAATTCTTATTATAAAATAAGTAATTACTTATATTATAAATTATAAACAATAAAGAATGACAAAAGCAATAATAAGTTAGCATGATTTAAAATTGTAGATAATATGATAAATAAAACTATTTTCAGTAAACTTAATATTTTCGATTTTATATAGGAACTGAATTGCCTAACTTCACACGGGAGATAATTTACTGTTTTAGATTAGAACAATTAATATTTTAATGTAAAATAAGAATTTAGAATGAAAATAGCGCACAGTCGTTATTTATTCAAATATTTATTTATATTTATATATCTTTATATCTACCACAATCGGTAATTATTAATATCAACAAATTAAACAAAATAAAAATTTTCTAGGTAACCAAAAAGTGAAAAAATTATACGATGAACGCAAAACCAATTCGTCCATTAAAAAACAGATGTTCAAATAATCCTTTCTTGTTATACATCTAGAATATTAATAGAATCAAGTGTCAATTTCATACGTTTTATCGTTTTTGAGATGTAGCAACCGATATGTCAGTGAATCGTATTTGCATTTTTAAATAAAGATAAGTTTTAACTTACCATTAATTATAAATAAAAGTCAGAACAAGCAATACGATTTAATATGAAAATACAAAAATTTTATTATATCTATTCTTAAAATTTTAGTTGATAAGATCAATAAATAGTTAAGTAAATTTAAGGTTGCTCGTATATTTTCATAATAAAAACTGACGATAAAAATTATTCATAAGTTAAGTCAGTAATATTAATAATGAATAATTATTCAAAAATGCATTCATAAATCAAATATGAAAATTAAATACGATATTGATTACAATAATTTTTTAATATAATGTAATGTGAAAAAAAAAACCACTTTGTATGTTTCAAGTTCTTAGGTGGTCAGACTATTATCTCGATAATCATGCCAACAATAAAAATCTTTACAATTAATAAGGTTAAAAAAATAGCTCTTCGTTTTTTATTTCCCCTATTATTTTATACCTAACACTGAACTGTACTAGGTATATTAATATCTAATTTTATAATTTTCTAATGTACAATAATTTAGATTTTAATACTATAAAATTATTAATAAATAAAAAAAAAACAATCTAATTTAGAGCAAGTAAATTGCTTTATCCTAGTATAAAATATATATTGTTTCATATCATTGTTTATATAATAAACTGTTAAATTATACAAACCATAGTTTATTTCATCGTATCAAAATACGTAAATACAAGAAAGTTTGATAACTGTTTTGCCTAAACTTTTCGGTTGTGATACATTTGCTATTATCATCCCTACAACCACTTGAAATGTAATTTCTCTGAAACCATTAGTATTACAGTACTTAGACAGACACTGACTGCATTTACTTCCTTCTGTAAAATTACATTGGAATACATTTGTATTCGGAAACTTGCCAAACACTGTAAATTGTAAAGACTTTAAAAGCAATTATAATTTTCTACGGTAAAATAAACAGTATCTATTTCATCAAGTTTCTGTACACGGAAAACATAATCTTTTAAATGATAATACAATAAACTAAAAATTATAATTGTCCATAGATAAATGTTTGTGATTATTTTTTAATTAACTCGTACAAGTTAAATTTTACATGTATAGTTCATTAGAAGTTAGTTAAACTGAAAATAAGTAGTTGTACTCGTATATGTTTGTAAATCCTCAAGAGTAATTAATAATTACTCCAATATAGTATCAAATACTATTAATGAATATGTATATATAAATAACAGTAATTTGTTCAAGCAATTTAATTAAAAATTCTTCTACAACTCATGAAATACGCTTTAAAAACAACTTTAATATGTTTGAATGTTTTTAACATAATAATATGTACTTTGAACTTAGAACTTCTACTTCGTGTTATCCAGAATTCAGAATTCAGATTTGCATGAACCTTATTGCACTAATACATTTTTGAGAAAATATAAAATTATCATGGTTTATAAGAAAAATTATGATTTCAAATAATATAAATAAAATTAACATAATTTTAGTTATTGCTTTATAATATACATACATCATAAATGTAAGAGCAAGACTATCCAATTGAAATGCATAAATACATATGAGTATACATACACACACAAATGTCTATATTGATATGTTTCATCCGTTTAATGAAATCGATCTTTTTATATCCATCTCATACAATATTTTCATAATGCTAAACGTAAAAATTATGTTTAACTACACTTACACGACACCTTTAATGCTTAATTTTTTCGTGAAATAAATAAAAAATGAAACAATTTACAGTCACATAATGCAATATTTATAGTTAATACTTCTATATTTTACTTCAATAAATGTATAAATACTATAGTTAAAATATTTAAGTATTCGATATAAGGATTATACTATTTTTGTTTAATTTATTACGTTACCAAAATTTTTTTTAAAAAAAGGTTAAAAAAAGCTTCTCCACTTTATGTGATTAATCATATTTTCATCAATGGGTACATTTTAATGAAAATAAATCCATTTTATAAGAATACTTATTTCACTAATAAGGTATGTACGACATACGAATACATATTACGTTATTATAATGTATTTAATTATGTATAATTAAAATTTGTCTGTACACAGCTACTCGATTCATACGTAAAAATATATAAAAGAGTTAAGTTCTCAGAACTTGACCGATAATCATTTATAACCGTATATAATTAATATATATATATATATATATATCCATATTGGAAGTAAATGCTTATAAGATTTAAAGGTTTTATTATTATTATTTTTTTTTTTTTTGTTATTAAAAAACACAATAACGATTAATCTTCGGTACGACAGTGACGTATAGACAAAATACCGGAACCGAACTACTAATTATTACCATTACCAAACAACTTAAGATGATTACGTGAACACCGTACCCTACGTAATGTTCGAAATTAATCTACACTAATGTATGTATGTGCGTTTCGAAATCTCGAAGTATCATCACGTCCACAAGAAAAAAAAGAAAAACGGAGAAAATTTCGTGGTATTCAAATCACTACAGAGAAACGCGATCATATTCATTAATTTCACTGTTGCGTCATCGTGCGAATCGGTTGGAGAAACGGAGAGGTAAATCGAGAAAAAAAATTACAACGTCGTGGCCGCATCACTATCGTAATATATATGTATGTAATGCGTATACGTCTGATATTATTATTACCGGATTGTAGTTTATGTGCTCTACCCGTCGTCGTGTGAAGAGCTTTATTAGGACGTAAAATATATGTTTTCATTGGCGAACAGAAAACTAAATCGAGTCTAACGTGAAAAATTAACGACGGCACAACGCAACAGCGTCCCAGTAATGAACACACATATTATGTTATTTGTTTTCATCAAATCGTTTGTAAACTTAATACAAACCCGGGTAGGTTAACATAAATTTCAAACTGTCCGTTAAATTAAACCAAATCCATACGTTATAGTATACGATTTAAAAATTACATAGGAACGGTACACGTTTTCAGAATGTTATATCACCGTATGTACCACGGGTATCTGAATTATAAACAATATATCAACAGTTTTTATTAGAATTGACTTAAATCAACAAGCACGCTTAAGATTTTAATAAAACGCAAGGAATTATAGCTTATTGTTTCATGATTAACACGGTTAACGAATACAATAATTTTTGTTCTCGTTCGCGCCATAATCATAATAGTACTAGTTACGAATTATAACCAGTTAAAATAGCTAAAAGAAAACTATATATTTTTATGTGTACGTATTTTTTTCCACGAAGAGTCATTGGACATCCTCCCTTTTCAATATGTGTCATTGCCTATCAATTATTCGTGTACATCATATTCACTCAGTTCGTACAAAAAAAACATGTATACAAAGCCTTCAAAGTAAAATAAAAAATAAACATACATATTTTTATTGCATTTTCGTCCCTTCGCTTATATTTTGTTCTCTCGTTAAATAAATTCTAATTTTTCGAAAAAATAAAACCATTAGAGTAATAGCTATTTTAGTTTTTTATTGTTACAAAAGAGCAACATTTTAATTTTAATATTCCGACCGAACCAATCTGACCCTACTACATACGCTGTTCTTATTAGATATATTATTATTATATTTTGTGAAAATATCCCTCTCTATTGTCGAGAACATTATTATTGTTTAGAATGTACTTAACTTGCGTTAGAACTATGAAATACGTTAGAAATTTAAAGCAGTTGTACAACGATTTATATGGATTGATTGATCTGTTGTTAGTGGTTTTCCAAGCGACATCATGTTCGACGCAGCGTACAAATCTAACTACGAATAACTACACGTAGAAATTTGAAAATTGTCAATTACGAGTTATACATGTTTTCTTCGAAACTAAATGATGCGTTCGTGCGGTGGTTTAACAAATGGAATTTCTTAAAAAAAAAATTTAGAAAATACAATAACATTTTACTACGTTCGTGGTACCAAACACATTTAAAACAGTCGAATAACGCACTATTTTTTTGAAGTACTGAGATAAACTTTAAGACGTGATTTACTCGAAATGTGACACGACGCCGTCGGCAGCTATTCGATCGGAATGAAAACCCGAAGCGAAACCGACGACTTTCTCCCCCCCCCCCGGGTAACCCTTAAGCAGGGTGTTATGGTCGGTTACGATAGGGGAGACGCACGCGAACCGCCGATCAAATGAACTGTATACAAAAATGGCTAGGAAAGGGGGTGGTAAATAATAAGACGAACGAGAATTGCTGGCACACGCATATTACGAGACTTACCTGGCACGCGCGAAGCCGACGACTGCGGCCAACGTAGATGTTATCGCCGCTGCGGCGGTGACGTCGACGACGACGACAACGGCGAAACGACAAACGGGACCAGAGCACCGCAGCAGCACAACCGAAACGGCCGACACCACAGCCGGCACTACTACTACTACTACTACTACTACTACCACTACAACTTCTACTACTACTACTACTACAACGTTTTTGTAATACTACGTCGACGGCGGCGGCGGCGGCGGCAGCAGCAGCGGCGATCGCTATAGTGCCGCCGCCACCGGCGCGCGCGATAACGACCACGTTCGCTCGGTCCGGCTGCTGCGGCGCTCGAAGTCGGTCGTACCGCGGTCGCGTGCGACCCTTAACGCGTCGCGGTGCGGTCGGTCCGGCAGTCGGTGCACTCGGCGTCGCGTGACGATTAGCTATTCCTGTCGTATCGATGCGGTCAACCGACGCCGCCGCCGCCGTAGCCCCGGCCGAGACGACGTATGAATGGCACTTCACACGGGTTCGCGCACGCACGCACCCCGGAGATCCGGAAACTCCTCCCCGCCTCGCATCACCACTGCCCTCCCCACCTCCACGCCGCGCCGATCGCCGTCGAACATAAAGCTACCGCCGCCGCCACGCGTTTATCCCGCGTAACGATTGTCGACTATCACGTGCTGCGCGCGCGCACTGCCGCGTGTCCCCGTACCGACGGCGGCGACACCGCGCGGAAACGACGCTCGGCCGGCACCACGCGCGCCGCTTCCGAGACGATGCGCGACAGCCGTGCGGACGCCGAGCGCGTGCCGGCCGGGTTCCCGTCGCTCGTGTGCTCGGACGAATATTCGCCGTCCGTGAACGCTCTGCTTGCCGTGTCGCGGGAACGGAGGTGATACTCGCCACGGGGTAACTCTGCTCACTGTTCGTGAATCGCCACCTTGCCACGGGGTCCGTCGGTTCGTTCGGTCGAATAGTATTGACCGAAACCCGTATCCGTTCGATCGATTCGTTCGATTTTGCGTACGTGTATATTTGCCAACTACACGAGCCAGGGGTTAGGGCACGCACGAAGCCCCGCCACCGATGTGCTACCGGTACAGTTGCGATCAGGGCGTTCGCGGTGTGAACCGCAGTGGCGCGCGACATCAGGTTTCGCACGTGCAATGATACCGATATGTTGTAAAATACATTTACATCGTTGTGTTCAAAATATCGAATAAATAACATTATTAGTCGTGGGAGTTTCATAATTAAATAAATATTATCAAAGAAAACCATCAATACATATTTAAATAGTATCGTGATAATATTATTCTATATTATCATTTATAACATAACATATTTAATCGTAATAATAACTGTAAGATTATTTTCAATAAATAAACATGCTAGAGACGGCTAAACCTCTACAAAACGTTCCTCTAAACAAACCACAAAGACCATTCTTCCAACGTTCAACTTTACATACATCACTCGTAACCAGAACGGGCTCATATGCATTGCATGAACTGTATCTGGCTCCTAGGCTAAAAAATCGTCTTTAAACTGTTATCGTTAAATTTAAAGAAGTTTACATTTTATTATAAACACTCCTATATCCCTCTCGTTTCTAGATCTATAATCACATTCATTTTCGGTGTACCTTAATACAAACAAGGATATACCATTTACAAAAAGCTGTGTTATTATAAAACTATCTTTATTACATAAATATTGCAATAATTAATTAAACGATTCAAGATCCATTTGATAATGATTCCTTATATAGGAAAAGGTAATATAAATAATGTATTAGGCTAATACCTGTATTAGGAACTAAAATTGTGTGCAGTACGACACACTTTGTGTAATACAAAATGTTAAATGTGTACATAATTAGAAATTAAAAAGTGTGTTGTGGTTATATTTTTATATAATGATATTTGTTTTTAATTTTAAATTTTTTTATGAAATTATTTTACATATTTATTTTTTTTATATTCCTAGGTGTATCATCAGAAAAATCTAAAATACCAACTGTTTTAATTGTGTTACTCATTACTTTTAACGTTTGAAAAGGGACTATGACAAAACCCTTAAATGTACATTTAAAAGTATATATTTTAGCCTCTGCCCTATATACGTATAGGTTATTTTATTACACAGGGGTAGAGCGTAGAGCGGAGTTACTATTAAGAAGGAACATGAATAGTCAGGTGTCTGGTGTTGTTGTTTTGAGTGTCTTTGGTCTTGAGATTGGAGCACACGCGGAACTCAAACCCCGGAGTTTTGATGGATTCGGAAATCCAAATTTACTTGAAGTAGCGACCGCTTACGGCAAGGTGATCGTTGAGCATGACGGATCGGAGCCATCTCATTATAGTTTTTGGATATTCCACATGTCCGATCATCTGTGTATGTTTCAACGCACCGATTTTTAATTGTAATCGTAACTAGCAACCCGTGTTGTAAAAAAAAAATCAAATATGATATAACCGAATAATCGAAAAATTCCCTCCCCCTACCTACCTACAAACGTCCGGAAGATACGTTCTGCTTATGACACCTCACCATTACATGTTTTCATTAGTACTCGACGAGTGAGTTTTTCATTTTGTAGATAAAAACGGACAACAATCTCTACCAGAAACCTACACATAGACGACGAGTAAACAGCAAACACCTTCGTCGCTTTCCTCGTGGGGAGCCATTTTGCCATTTTCACCTCATACGAGTAGACGCAAAATTGATTTCATCGAAAATAATTTTGCAGAAATCGCAAACAAACCTATTAGACAGCTATCGAGACATTAATCAATTGCATTAACATAGACGAATTGTTCAAACTTCATACCGTGTACGCACTAAGTATCGCATATAACCCACTCCTCCAGTGTCTTTTTTTTTTAAAAAAAAAATTTGAATATTACAATCATAAAAATATTGTTTGATATTTTTAAAAATTATTTATCAGCTAATCAATATATTTAATCCGTTAAAATAAATCATTATTTATAACAACCCCATACACCGTTGAAAATTCCAATGCACGTCACTAGCATATCGTTCAGGCGTTAAAGGTCGTCACCTAAGTCGATCGCAGCACCGATGTGTACCTATATTGCCTATAAATTACGCCTGGCAATGCGTGGGTTATTTATAACCCGCACATACAATATATGGTCGAGTGATAGTACTACATGTTGTAATATTGCTAAAACATCACAGTTTTAATTTACAACAGTATTATTTTTGTAATAATAAAGCACATAAACTTACGTATTATCATAAACGATGATGCTCTTGGACACATACTACGTAACACATAAAATTCGATAAATCACCAAATTCTCTAGCGATTGCCTCATTTGACCACCAAATAAAACCTTTACTCTCGCATTTTTCGTACTTTATAATACGGTTTAATTAAGTTAAAAATGAATGTTATGGTTATACTTAATGAATCATGTAAAATTTATTAAAAATGTCTTCGTATTGATAAATTTTTTACTTAATCTAGATTTAACCATTGAATTATACTGCTTAATAAAATAGTAGCCTTAAGAATGGAAAACGTAAGAGTAAAATTTATTACAAAAAACATCGTATCCACGAGACAGTTTACGATACGTCATGAACGCAGTTAATTATTATATATGTAAGAGGCGAGTTTTGGATTTAAGTCTTAGAAGATCCTAGTGTAAATATTAAGCCAAGTCACTTTCAAAAACAAATATTCGTATAAATATAAGACATATAAAACATAATATGTATCATATAATTATTCAATATATGCACAAATTAATTAAAAATTAATCACTATCCAATGAACAAGTATATAGTATTTTTTATATTGATGGGCCGATACCACTTTTTACCGATACCTGATATATCAATATAATTAAGTTGATTTTTAATATATTACATAAAAAAATCAACTTTTTGACAAAAACCATGAACCGATACTAAAATTAATCCGATACCACAAACCAATAAAACCGATATTACATAATATTAGTATTACATTATTTTAGTAAGTAAGCAGTTTTATATGTAAATTAAATAAAAATAAATAACAATGTTTCTTTTAAGCTTAAACAATAAAATTAAAATTAAATACTAGAGCAGTGATGACCAACATTTTTCCTTTGACAGGCCGCTTTGGTAAACAATTATCTTCAAGCGGGCCACAAAGTATAAAAGTACAAAAATAATCTTATATATTGGACTTGTTTTCTTATCTTTTATTGTCTATCGAAAAGATTATGAATTGAGGTATACATAATTGTATTTTTTGGAATAATTTAAATAAAAATAATATATGATAATAAATAATTTAAAATTTTTTTTTATTTTAGAAAATTCGTAATGGGCCACATAGAATACCTTCGCGGGCCGTGGGTTGGGCACCACTGTACTAGAGACACGAGGTCTTGTGGTGTCGCGAACGAAGAGAAACGAACGTAAGGATGGAGTACACTCGATAGATGTAAGCCGGTTGGGACGAAAGAGCGAAAGTGGACCCACCGTAGCGATGCTGAAGGTGAACGCAATGGAGGCACGGTGCCGGAACATAATCACCAACAATATCACATCGATGAGAGAGCACTGTGGTGGTGGCCCACCATAGTACTATCTATACTTAGTGATTAAAATATTTTTATTATTGATATTAATGAATTTTATGCTGGTGGTTCTTTTTTGGTTCTTTTTTTTTTTTTCAAATATCGGTTTTGAAAATAAACCGATACCGATGTATCTAATTCCACCAATATCGGCCAATATCAAACCTAGTATCTGTTCTAGGATCGACCCACCCCTAATTTTTTAATATTCTTAAAGTTTATTGAATCATTATTCAATATCCTACAATAAAATGTTATTATATAATCATGAATTGATAATTATTTTAATCCATTAAAAAAATCTGAGATATACAGCGGGGTCTGAGACCCCAGTACATTGTATTCTCTACACTAATACTATTTACGGCATGATACCACATACGTGTAATATCACTGGTGAGGTACGTTATTGTGCGTGGAGTGGTTAAAAGATACATTTAAGATCCACGGTCTTATTAACGAAACAGCGACGCATCCTATCGTTAAATTCACTCGGATTATATTATTATCTCTCCACTGCCAAGTAACGAAATCAAATCAACTCGAATTACCCAAAAAACCCGTATTTCTTTCGAAATTCCGACCGAATCGTTAAGCGCGTAATCTACCAAATATTTTCTTTACCACGATGGTTCAAATTAGACGACCTCAAATAATCAACCTCATCTCTATTTCAAATAATAAACACTTTTATAAATATATATATATATATATACACAATAGAGTGCTTAATTTATGTAAATTTAAATGTATATGCAAATTTAATCAATGAAATTCCCGAATTTCTACATTGGTGACTTAAAATACTTTTTTACTACAGTAATCACAAAAAATATCATAAACTTAATCAACATATTAATTTAATTCTACGTTTTCAACATTGAGTATTAAAGTCTGAAATTACAAAATGTTCATGTATTAGAATTTCATTAAATATTTTAGTTTT